GGGGGGGGGGGGGGGTCGAATTTTTTTACCTGGTTGAACTGAGACGGTATATCCTGGCGGTCCTGCATGGCCACCACGCAGGCAGTGGCGGTGGCCGTTGCGGTGGCAGCTGCCACCATTGCCGCGGCACTAAACTCTTAAACACCACCCCCACTGTGGGGTGGCACTCCTCGAGACACCCCGGATGATGATTATTCTTTATTCACCTCTTTGATTAATTCTGGAACAAAAGGAAATTCAGGGGTTAGCACACAATATCAAAATTTTTTGGCCGAAATTTGGAGGAATTTTGACATTGAAAATCCCTAATTTTGTGGAAAAATCAATGGAAACTGTCAATTTCAGTTCAATTATTCCATGAAAATTGAAAGAAATGATGAAATTTCAGGTGAACGTATTCATTCTCTCAGCTAATTTCTTAAAAATCGCCAGAACTACCACTAGAGGAATAACCAATGCTAAAAAGGAAGGTACAAATCCCACCACTAGGCGTTTGTACCTCCCCGTTGCCGTGTATAAGAAAAATAAAGAAAGTGGCTAATTGAAAAGTCATGTTCATTGGGGAAAATTTGTTGACTTCTCAATGAAATCTAAAATGTCAGAGTTTTCTCCAATATCATAACGAATATTATGAACTTTTAGTATTCTCTGAACTCAATATCCTAATTTGAATAAAAAAATCATTTTTTATGAATTGAAAATACAATAGCGTCGATTCTATCGTCCCCAGGCTAGACCATGGAAATAATCTAGTGGAAAAAAAATCAGTATATTCCTAAATTTCTGAGAAACCATCATCTCCCCCGAAATTCCTTGAAAAGAGAGGGAATCGTCGATATCCGGGGCCTTGAATGAGCCCGAAAAAATGTATTCCCAACAGTCTAGGGCGGTCGAGGCGTTTTTCTCGATGCCGAAAAATTTGGTACCATTCGAGTTGCATCGAAATCCAAACGTTTTCAATTCCCAGCTGGTCGACAAAGGCGCGCGCGCGCGCCCGCACGCACACACGTGCATACATACACACACCCCGGCAAAGGCCCCATTGCTTTTCTGTGGGAAATGCACGTGCTCGCTATTCACACAGCGCAGTATAATACACGCTGTGCGGCAACCGAAACCCGGGATACACAGTAGGTATACGAGACCCAGGGATCGGTCCTCTCCTTCCGAGGGCAAACCCACATCTTGAAATTATTTTTCCTCAACTGCACCCGGAGAAATGAACAACAAACGAATTCCCAACGAGAGTAAAAATGAATCCGTAAATATCACATGTGTCGGAGTTAAAAATTTAGGTGACAGAATAACTAAAGTTGAGAGGGAAGAGAGTAAGCAAAATTATTTTTGATTAATCACTATAATAAAAAATTACGCTGGAAAAATAGTTGTATCACTACAATTCGGTCTCCAACATTTGATTTCATATATTTTTATATTATTAGTTACATTATTCAAGTTGTAAAAACCAGAGATCGAATCGTCAATTATTTGCAATTATTTTAAAAAATGAAACCGAAAATATCAAATATAGTTGTTTGATCATCTCCATAATTACGAGATCTGTTAGAAAATGTCGTGGGACCTATTTCCTAGATGGTGAAATTTCCTTTCAAAATGTTTTCTAATGGAATACATTTTCAAAATTTTGAAATTTTTGGTGATAGTCGTTCGTCTCTGTAATTACCGCCTCTATGAGAACATGTCGTGACACTTTTTTTATGGGAATTTTGAAATTTCCGGTATTGAAATACCTTGACGTTTTCTCCTGAAACAAATAGTCATAAAATTCTATTTACATTTGAACGGGAGCAAAACTATTAAAAATTGTTCCATTAAGTGGAAATTAGTAGAGACAAATTTTCCATTTTTTCTCCACTAGAACAGGGCGCGCGTATTGTTTTCCATGGGTACCAGAATTGTACAACCTTACCGTTTCTCACTTTCTTCAATTTTTATCTCAATAATAATGCAGGAAAAATGAATGATCTCAACGAAGTCTTTCACAATCAGAATTTAATTGTTGAATAATTTATCCGGAATCGTCATAATTCTCTTCATCTTCTTCGTTTCTCTTCTGTTTTTTGCGTTCTTTTTTATAATTTAGGGATGTATTATATATTATATACATATATACTATGTTATATATGTATTTTTTTATTGCAGTAAGAAATGACTTTCTCTTTTTTTTACAATTACTGTAAACAACAGATTACAGTACATAAAAAAAAATATATATAGACATCATATTACATAACTTGATAAGCGGAATAGAGGCTTTAAAAATCGTTACACTGGATTTTTTAAAGTGAATTCTGAAGATATTTTTTCAGACTTCGAAATGAAACCCGATTCCTTGAATTCCCGCTTTAATCCTCACGATTACTAAAATTGATGGATAATTTCAACCAGATTCCCACGAAAACCTCCCTCGACCTTCTCCCCACAAATATGCCCTCAAACCTATCCAAAAAATGGAAAAAAATATATATCGAGAACAATGAAAGCCTGTACGACAAATAAAAAGGGTCCGTTTCGATAACGTTGTTTGACTGAAGGATAGTACCACTCGAATATTTTCGAGTTGACGTCATCGCTCCCCCCCCCCCCCC